CGGCTTTGAACTTTTTATACGTTTTATATGTGGATTTTTTTATAGTTGCATTGTAATAAGTATGTTTAATTAATATACATTTCCCCAAAATTTGAATGCATTAGTAAATACAGTTGAAGTAATTTTTTTCTAATTATTTTTTTAAATGAGGAAACTACCCATGGCAACTTTAAGGTAATACAGTTTGCTATATTTACTTTCGGCCCACAGCTCTCAATCAAGCTTGGATTTTGGCCCTTCATTAAAAAAAGTTTTGGCACCTCTGCTTTAGAGGTACTAAAAGAAAATGCGGTTGTGTTAAAATCAAAACAATCTTATTGGAAAAATGTGCCCTGGTGTACATGTTTGAAAGCTGAGGTATATGTGCTTGCAGGTACATATGGCTGCAGAAACCTGGTAAAATGAAAGACTAAAAGGTCACGGTAGAAGCACATGGCCGTGATGGCTGTTCTGTTCTAGTTTGCTTTTGAAAACACTCTCGGTTGGGTTTAGGGAAGAGGGTAGGTGGGTCAGTCGATTTAAAGCTGATATATTATGCATGACTACAGCCCTCTGCGGGCCTCACTAACACCACTTCCAACAGCAACCTAGTTTTCCCATGTGGTCTCACATCCAGGTAATGACTAGGCTCAACCCTGCTTAGATTCAGTGAGTAACCGGTCTTGGTCTGCAGGGTAATGTGTGCTGTGGCTTAAAGCTGTGGCTTAAAGTAAAGTTACTACTCGCTTTTTACTGTGAGGGTACATATTTGTCAGTTCTCAAAAATGTACTCCTGGGCACATATTTCCAATGAGCCTGGGTTGCTTAAAATATGGCATGATAACTATGATAACGTTGATTCTTGGCTGCCTGTTCATTTTAGAGTTTAGTTTAAACTTGTACTTTTTGTTTTTACATCTCTAAACGGAATGACTTTCGTTTATGTCAGTGAGCTTGTATCAGCCTATCAGATACCTTTGGTCCTACAATCAGGATTTTTTGTGCACATACAAATCAAGACTTAAATGTACACTGTAAAATTCATTCATTCATTCATTTTCTTTTTGGCTTAGTCTCTTTATTTGTCTGGGGTCACCATAGCGGAATAACCCACCAATTTATCCAGCATATGTTTTACCCATCACTGGAAAACACCCATACAAACTCATTCACACAAATAAACTATAGTCAATTTAGCTTACCCAATTCACCTGTACCGCATGTCTTTGGACTGTGGAGGAAACCGGAGCATCCAGAGGAAACCCGTGTGAACACGAGGAGAACACGCAAACTCCACACAGAAATGCCAACTGACACAGCTGAGGCTCAAACCAGCGACCTTTTTGCCGTGAGGCGATCGTGCTACCCACTGCGCCACCTTGCTGCCCCACAGTAAAATTAGTTACTTTAAAAAAAGGGAGTAAACCCGTTGCCTTAAAAGCAACAAGTTGATTCTACTTTTTAAAAGAAAGTCAGTAAACCTTTGTCAAAAAACATTGACTGTTTTTAGGAAAGTCACATCGTGTCAATGGCTTACAGTGTCTGGGAGATCATGACTTTAAAACACTCACCAGCTACTTTATTATGTAACGAATTTCTAATCAGCCAATCACATGGCAGCAACTCAATGCATTTAGGCATGCAGACATGGTCAAGACGATCTGCTGCAGTTCAAACCAAGCATCAGAATGGGGAAGAAAGGTGATTCAATTGACTTTGAACGTGGCATGGTGGTTGGTGCCAGACGGGCTGGTCTGAGAATTTCAGAAACTGCTGATCTACTGGGATTTTCATGCATAGTCAAATGCCGTGTTGATGCCAGAGGGCAGAGGAGAATGGCCAGACTGAGGTATGCAGAAGAGCATCTCTGAACGCACAACACGTCTGACAGTGGTCTGCAGAAGACCACACTGAGACCACAAACTGAGGCTAAAACTTGCACAGGGTCCATAAAATTAGACAATAGAAGATTGAAAAAACGTTGCCCGGTCTGATGATTCATGATTTCTGTTGTGACATTCAGATGGTAGGGTCAGAATTTGGCGTCAACAACATGAAAGGATGGATCCATCCTGCCTTGTATCGACAGTTCAGGCTGGTGGTGGTGGTGTAATGGTGTGGGAGATAGTTTCTTGGCACACTTTGGGCCCATTAGTACCAATTGAGCATCGTGTCAATGCCACAGTATACTCATCTTCTGATGGCTACTTCCAGCAGGATAATGCGCCATGTCATAAAGCGCAAATTAAAGTGAGTACAGTGACAATGAGTTCACTGTACTCAAATGGCCTCCACAGTCACCAGATCTATGCCACGAAGGATTAAGGAAGTTCTGAAGGCAAAAGGGGGTCCGAAGGTGTACCTAATAAAGTGGCTGGTAAGTGTAGTCTTTCATACTAAAATAAAGATGTTTATTTGTGTTATTATTAAAGGCGTTCAGCTTATAGAAGATCCGGCTGTTTCTTAGCATGTTTGTTGTTGTCTGTTTCTCTTTCTGCTTATTTGATGGAAGCACGTCAGTCAATGAAAGTTGTTCAGAACTATCATCCAAAAAAATTAGCATAAGTTAGAAGAAGTTTTACATCTTAATTCTGTCATTTCAAGTCTACATAATGCTAAAATCCAATGAGTGCTGTCTGATCATTTGTTCAATCAAAGCGAGTGAGTGATTAATGCTGTGATTTGATGTGACAATGTCGCCATCTTTGATCCGTCGTCTCACTGTTTAGCCTATCCACCTACTACTTTTCTCCTTTCCCACAAGTCAGAGCGAGAGAGATTTGTATTAAGCAGGGCGCCAGGGATTTTCTGGCAGACACCGCGAGATGATGTGACAAAGAGGAGTATTGGAGCACTCCGTGTCACTTCGGGCTGTTTCTTTGAGCGCCATATGCCGAAAACCCTGCTGTATAGCAGAGTACACAAACTTTGGAAGCCCGATTTCACCCAGTCACAGCTCTGGGAACAGTTTGAACGGATCCCTGCCATGCTTGCAACAATAATTATTTCATGCCCCTGGACTCTAACCAAACTAAGCCCTTGCCATCTCATTTGACAAGTAAAAAAGAGAGAGACAAAACGCAAAGACAGAGGGAAAAAAAGAGAGAGAGAGATGCCTCTGGTTAGGAGGAAACCCCATTTCCAATGTCACTGTGTGTATAAGATGTCAGCCCGTGCACCTGAACCAGTCCGCCTGTCAAAGTTGCTGTCACAGTGGCTGAATGTCAGAGTGTAAAGCAGATGGAGAGGTTACAATGGCTGCTTCAGACTTTAGACTGACGGGAAACGGTTTCAGGGTAAGAACCATCAACTCACATTCTGGCTGAGGGTGTTGGGCTGGGCAGGTATTAAGAGTCTTGCATTGCTAATTAAGTTCAAGACTTCACTCAGCGTTGATAATGAGAGACTTAGAGCAAGCTAGCATGTTGTAAAAAACTTTTAAAGGGAACAAAATGTTCTACATCTCGCTTTATGCATCCTTTGATGTCACTATAAAACAAGTTAGCTATTACATGTAGCCTATTAAGACATTTATACAGAACTACTTGAATCTTTCTTTTCACATTATTTTCTTTGACAATACTTCAGTTTCCTAAAAAATTTTTTAATTTAATAAATTGCTACAAGTACAGTGCTCAGCATAATTAAGTGAACTCCATTTTGAAAATGAATATTTTTTTTTATCAATTTCTCAATAAATACATGTGTTTTAGTGCATTTAAACAAAACAGATTTATTAAACAGATGTATTTAGTAAAATAATATTTTAGTCACCAAACATGTTTAGAAATTGATAACACAACAAAATTATTTTCAAATCTTTCTGCTTCTTGATTTTTGCCTCTTTTTTTTTAAATTCTTATTCAATATTTTCTCTAACATATAAATTTGGGTGTACTAGTTTTTGGACCGTTATCGTAAGATATGTTGTTTGATAAGCTCCATATTTAGCTTCAGTACTGACTAATCTAATGTATATGCACAAATATAATATTGTATAGCTTCCTATCAAAAATAAGAATTTAAAAGAGAGATGTAAGGGCTGTACATATGCTGAGCACTGTAAATGTATTTATTTTTTAATCAGGTTCGACATCTTGCTTTATATATTCTCTTATGTCACGATAAAACAAATAATTAAACATAGACTATTAGGAAATTTCCACAGAACTAAATAAATCTTTCTTCTTACATGATTTGCTTAAAGAATACTTCAATTTCCTAAAAAGAAAATCAATCAGTTAATAAACTGCTACAAGTAAATAACCTATATAAGAATCTACATTATTTCTTTAAAAAAAAACACAAAAAAAAAACAATTTCTTTAAAAAATAAATAAATTCATCATTCAATAAGCATTTAAATGTAAATTTAGGAAGCAATAGCTTTTTCTGAGGAAACCATGCTTGGTAGCAACATGTCACTATAATACAAATTTATTAAGAAATTATTATTATTATTTTAAATATTATTATTACTAATAATTGCTTTAATAATTTGACATTATTGTATCAAATTATTAATATTATTGGCATTATAAATATAAATTATACATTTATATAATTTAGCTAATTTCCTTAAAAATACTTCAATAAAAAAAAAAGATTAATAATTTAATAAATTGCTCAATGTGATTTTGGAGCACAATCATGAGGAAACCATAATGTCACTATAAAACAAATGAATAAATGTTTTAAAAAATCATTACAAATATAATTAAACCTTTCTTTGAGTTAATTTTATTTTTAAAAAATACTATAATTCCTTTAAATACAAGGATTAATGAATTGATAAATTGATAAATGTGATTTTTAGCATAACAGTTTTTCATGTTTTCATGCTTGGCAGCATTGTGTCACCATAAAACAAACAAACAAAAAAAAACTTTCTTCTAAGTTATTTTCAGTTTTAAAAATCCTTTAATTTCTTTTTAAAAAGATCAATAATTAAAAAAACTGCTAAAAATGACCACAATAGCTTTTGACGAGTTAATCATGCTTGGCAGCGTTATGTCACTAAAACAAATGATTAAATGTATTAATAAATTACTACAAAATTAATTAAACCTTTCTCCTGAGTTAATTTAATTTTTTTAATCCTTCAATTTTTTTTAAAAAGAAAAAAAATATTACTGAATTAATAAACTGCTGAATGTAATTTTGAACGCAATAGCTTTTATAAGGAAGTCCTGCTTGGCAGCGGGCGCGCGCCACGTATCGTGCCTGCGCACAAGTCAATCATCCTTTGCCTTTTGTGAACGTCAGAAACTGCTCCCGTCAGTGCTCATCCATCCGTCAGGGCTTCCCTTCAGTGTTAATAATACGCTCCAGCATCCCTCATACAAGGTCGTTGCCTTTTGACTTTCCGCCTGATAATAAACAATGAGAAAAGTCGCGTGGCTGCGCAGTGGAGGCAGTCATTGTGTTCCAGCCTCCCCGCGAGGACGCGGACGAGACGCGGTAAGCGCTTGAAATCGCAGTCTTTTCATTGCTGACTGACAGTAGGATGGGAAGCTCGCACGTGTTCACTTTGGGCGCGCGATTGAAAATGACACTGCGAGCGCGCGAGAGATTTTCGCCAGGTAAAAACGGGCACGAGCGCAAAAATGAATCCAGCGGCGAGCGGCTATCAGCGGTGATTTCTGCAGCACAATGACTGGATTATTCCGGCGTGATTTATGAACTGAACGACAGGTTGGAAACGAGCGTTAACCACAACCACAATACGCCCTACAACAGCGTTTGTTGCCCAGCAACATGTCAAAAACGGACAGTTTCAGGTCTCGAGAAGTCTTCATCGGCGGGCAGACCGAGGCGAAGGCGAGTCCGACAACCAGAGACTGAAACACCGGGACCTTCCGTCATTTGACCGGGCATCCTTCTCCTTAAAGTAATCATCACAGACTCGCAGAGCGGTGAGAGTCATCTTTAAGTCATTTTTGCCTTTTACTACGAGGAATTTAGTGTAAAGAAACAGCGTGTGAGAGCGCGCGCGCGTGCGTTATCATATTTTGGCAAGGCTACGAATAATTGTAAACCAATTAAGAGCTTAATGAATAAATCCATGCCATTAAACATGGTTTCATGTGAACCAGGACACATTTATTCAGTGTTTATCACTGTAAAAGACAACTGCGCTCTGGAGCGCACTTTTATCCACAGGTTTGGGTTCAGCGTTTTTGCTGACAGAAACAAAACGGCTCTATAGACTTCACATTTAAAAACTACAATGCTTCTGCTTAGTGTCAAAACATCCAAAGCTAAAACTGAGTATTTTAGCTTTGAAGAAAGATATTTCTTTGCTTCAGAGAAATAGCCATGTCTAAAAATACTTTCACAGAACATTAAACGCTTTTCTTGCTCTTTCTTTTTTTATTTGGCCATTTAATTCATTATTTTCTTCGAGTATTATGAATTGATTACCTTTAAGCAGCTAAATAGCTTGTTTGTTCCTTTCTTTCCTTCCATCTTTCTTTTTGTGTGTGTGTTTGTTTCTATAATACTGTAAATGTGACCGCGGACCACAAATCCAGTCATAATTGTCAATGTCTTTAAATTGAAATGTTTACATCTCGTGAAAGCTGATTAAGTTAGCTTTCCATTGATTTATGCTTTGTTAGGATTGGACAATATTTGGTCAAGATATAACCATTTAAATATCTCGAAGCTGAAGGTGTGAAACAATCTAAATATTAAGAAAGTCCCTTTTAAAGTTATGCAAATGAAATGCTTAGCAATGCACATTAGTAATCAATTTGTTTTTATATACACTCTCAGAAAAAATGGTACAATTTTGTACCAAAGAAGGTATAAACCCTTGTCACTTGTGCAATATCTTTTTTTATGGGACAGAATTGTACCTTAAGATAAAGAAACAAATGTGTGCCATTGCAGTTTGTACCTTTTAAGGGCATGATTTATCCCATGGGAAACCAAAATGTCCCTTTGGTTTTTAAAACCTGCAATTTCTGAAGGAACCACCACAGTGACAAAACACTTTGTACCTTAACAGTGTCAAATTGTTTACGTAACATTTATTTAAAATGCCTTAAATGTTTAGATGACAATAGTTTTATGTTTTACCAATTGTTTTGTTTTATAGAACTTAACAATTAATGTTTAAAAATTTCTTTAAACATATACTTTTAAATGATGATTCATGGATGAAAATGGAAATTACTCATAAAATCACTTTGCCTTTCCAGTCATTTATTTTCATTGTTATTGTAACAAAGAAGGGGTTGTAAAAGTACCGTAAAAGGTACAGAACAGTGTCATAAGTGGTCTTCTCTGTACCACATAAGGTACAGCTTTTACAAAGGTACAAAACTGTTCCTTAAGGAACATTATTTGTACCACATGCACCTTTTTTTCTGAGAGTGTATTTACAGTTGAAAATGCACATATCTTCATGGAACATGAACTATTTTACTATTCTAATGACTTATAATGAATAAAATGAATATCATTTTGACCCATATAACATATTTTTGGCTATTACCTAAATTTACCCATGCAACATATTATATAAGAAGCACAACAAAATCTCAAATCAAAAGGTTTTGCTTGAAATCAGAAGCTATTTGTTAAAGCTGACCACCCTCCTTTGTCAAGTATCAGATAATCTCATAAAATCATTGTTTTGAAGAGGATTATGCTTGTCGTTTTGTGAAAGGCAGTTGAGTGTAATTTTTTTTCTTCATGCTGTAAGTGAGCAGAGTTATTCAGTGTTTGTTCGCGGTCAGTCTGTTTAACGTCTGCTAAGAGGACACCATGTTTTCCAGTGAAATGTACACGGTACAGTACTGCTGTTCGGCTCACTGCTCCACAGCAACAAGCCTTGCAGGTATTTGTCACAGTTGTGCAACATAAACATCTGATTAAAGCAATTAGCTGATATTAGAGCTTGAAAAGGATTTCATTAGCAGAGGTGAGGTGGTGGTGCGTAAAAAGCACAAAATACCTCTTGTGGGGTTTTCCACTTTACTCTTCATCTATTGTTGCTTTTTTATACGGCCTATTGGCACTTTGTGTATCTGGAATTTTCATCTGATTTTAACTTTACAATTGCTGCTTAAAATAATAATAATAATCACAGTGCCTTTGCCCACTGATGGATTTATGGCTTTTATGGGCTTTCATACTTTGTTGGCATGTTAAATGTGTCATCGAGGACTTGAAATATCATATAAAAAATATATAACTAATCATTTTTGGATGTTTACTTTATTTCATTCTTTGTTAAGGGTCATTTTAAATCAGATTTTTATTTCTGCCATACATTAATGTATGGGGTTTTAATATTTTAGATTCCGCAGAGCCCAACATATGATCGTTCTTGAGCGAGGGACCTCCATCCTAAAATGTAAACGGCATCTGTAGAGTTTTGTGCGTGAAGACCCAATTTACACTGTAAAGAAAATCTGAAGAAATAAAATTATTAATGGGCCAAAAGTATTATTAGGGGAAAAAATTATAAAAGAATACATATTTTTCTACTCATTTAATTAATGCATCTGCTAATTTTTTTGTTCATTTATTTATTTTACATTTTGGATTACTGGTTTAATTATTACAAATATGATTTTAATGGATAATTAACACAATTTTGTATGAATTGTTTTAGAAATATATTATCTATCTGTCTATCTGTCTGTCTGTCTGTCTGTCTGTCTTTATATTATTTATTTGTTGTTTATGTAGTTTTTATTGTAAATGGAATGAAATGAATGTAGAAACAACATATTATTAGAAGTGAATCCATTTGTAAATGAAAGAAATAATTACCAGTTTGAAAGTAGATGATTAGTTTGTACATACGAGATGCAGAATCGGACACTCAAGACTCTCATATTTATTGAAAGGGGAAAAAAACAGGTCTGTGACTCGTGTAAGAAAATTTTGACGATAAAACATAGTTTAATAGAATGTGTATTTTTTTAATGATAGAGAGTGTTTTTATTCAGGAGATATTTTAAAGGAAATGTTTAAAAAGGTGCCTTCTGGAATTTTTTTTGGGATATTTATCTTTAATCAAACTAAAAGATTTAGTGTTTGTTTGTTTTTTGTACAATGTATGTTTAAGAAACCGATATGATTGTTATATATTGTTTAATTTGTATACATTTTGCTATGAATATAGCCAAAGCTGCTGATATGCCATTAAAATATAAATAAATAAAATAAATAAATAGTTTTTATTGTAATTTCTCAATTTAAAAACCCCTGCCTTTAAATTATTTATTAAATATTTAGTTAATATATTTAATCAGTACATTATTCACCCTTTTCTAGACTCAATTAAAATCATTTAGAAAAATGATTTAAAGCTGATCATCTAAAAATATGCAATTAGCTAATCATTTCATATTGATCACTGTGTGAAAGTAAATTTAAAATAATAAATTAAATATTATTAAAAACAAATACATAATTCATAAATGCTCAAGGTTGAATAGCTGTTAATTAAACATTTTATGTGATTAAAAGAACTCATCTATTTTAGTATTAATATGGATACATAGTAGGGCTGCACAATATATCGTTTCAGCATTGATATCGCAATCTGTGTGTCTGCAATAGTCACATCACAGAATCTGCAATGTTGAGTTAGGATCATAGTTGATCAACTGTTGAGAATACATTAAATTTGTGGAGTCACTGCAAAGTATAACCATAACAGAGTCAAACTTTATCATTTGCATGTGTTTACGAGGCATTTCAAGAGAATGAGGTGGTGCTGCGTAAAAAGTACAAAATATAATAATATTTTAGATGCCACAGACTCCAACATCGTTCTTGAGCGAGGGACATCCATCTTAAAATGTAAACAGCATCTGTAGAGTTTTGTGAAGAAAATCTGAAGAAATACTATTATAAATGGGCCAAAAGTATTATTTAAAAAAAAAATAATTAAAAGAATACATATTTTTCTTCACATTAAATTAGTGCATCTGGTGATTTGTTTGCTTTAATTAATGAATAATTAATTTATTTATTTAAAATTTGGGGTTACTGATTTAATTACTACAAATATAATTTTAATGGATAGTTAACACATTTTTGTATCAATTATTTTAGAAATATTATAATTATTGCCATCTATCTATCTATCTATCTATCTATCTATCTATCTATCTATCTATCTATCTATCTATCTATCTATCTATCTATCTATCTGTCTGTCTGTCTGTCTGTCTGTCTGTCTGTCTGTCTCTGTCTGTCTGTCTGTCTGTCTGTCTGTCTGTCTGTCTGTCTGTCTGTCTGTCTGTCTGTCTGTCTGTCTATCTATTTTTATTGGAATTTCTCAACTTGAAAATGACTGCCTTAAATTTTTTTATTCATTTATTTTTACTGTTTTAAAATGCATTTAACAAGTACATTATTCATCCAGACTCAATTAAAATCATTTCGAAAAATATTTAAAACTTATCATCTAAAAGTGTGCAATTAGCAAACCATTTAACATTCACTACTATGTGAAAGTGAGTTATAAATAATACATTAAATATAGATGAATTAAATACATGAAAAAATAATTGCTCAAGGTTGAATACCTGTTAATTAAACATATTTTATATGAATAAAAGAAGTCATTTATTCTAGTAGTATACATAGTAGGGCTGCACTATATATCGTTTTAGCAGTCACATTGCAGGATCTGCAGTGTTGAGTTAGTTGATCAACAGTTGATAATACATGAGATTTGTGGAGTTAAGTAAACCATTACAGAGTCAAGCGTTTATCATTTGCATGTGTTTTAAAGGCTTTTCAAGAGAGTTTAAAGTTTAAAAATTGTACTCAATTTCTAACTAAACAGTGTTATTTTACATTTCATAATTTAGCCTAAAACGGTTCATGAAAATGACTTTCCGGAAACTGTTTCTTTGACTTTTTTCCTTGCTTTACTGTAATT